CGATGATGAGGGATGAAACTCGTTGTACTGCAGCCGGTTGGATTGTATAGGATATTCATGTTGACGCAGTCCACGGGACTGCCTCGTTTCGGGTGAAAACGTGCTAAGCTTTCTTGTAAAAGTCAAATCTTAACACTAGGCCAAGAAGACTATCCACTTTTTCTTACCTTTTGTATAGACTAAGCTAAGCCAAAAGAAATTAAAAATTAAAAATTAAAAACATAGATGGATATAGAATGGTTTGGCTAATTATCTTTCATACTTGTCCTGCTACTTGTGCTCGAGTGTATGCGTGTGTGTGTGTGTGTTAGCGTCTATACGCAATACTGGTCGTAAATCAGAGTTATCAAAAGGTTAAAGTTGGGCTCTGATCATCAACGCCTAATGACTTCAAAGAAAGTCCTGACCGAGACCGCGCAAGTCCGTAAGCAAGTATGATTGGGATAATGAGATATGAGTTTGTAAGCATGTATGTCAAGTTACGAAACCACTTGTCCTAACCTCTCACTGTAGGGTCATTAACGTTTAACCCTCTAAGGAAAGGCATGACTGGGGCTGCGTACAACGAGTTTCATCCGTCCTCATCTGGTGAAATCGACCAACGAATCTCTTCTTCATGCACGTTCATACGAAATGAAAGTCCCTCTAACAACTTCTAAAAGAATTATTATTCATAAATTGATGATGATCTCTACGACTACTCACAATGAAAATGAGTAGTGACGTCGAATGCAATGCATAATCGACAATCCCAGTATAAGATATTATTCGGGTAGCACGTGATTTGCCTTGATTGTCCCATTTCATCGGCACATCTCTGGCACTCGTGGATATGCAGTGGAGTGATAACGCCACTACGATAGTCACAAACCGGTTTCGAATGCTGGGCGCGGTGAGAAGACCCAGGCGAGGTGGGAGGCAAGGCTAAGAGACATTGACGAGCATTATTAGGCCCATTCACTTCATAGTGGGAAAAACTCAACTTACGGTCCTTAAATCAACCTAACCGATCTAGAATGACCGGGTTCTCATTTCTGAGGGACGAGTCAGGACTCTGGATATGCTGAAGAATGTGAACAGTGGCAATTAACCCAGAGATAGCATAGCAATATAAGAGCTATTTCGTTTGGCGATGAAATAGTGACAGTTGCATTATCCCACAATCATTTAAGTGAATTGCAAGTCCTTCATCAACTTAAGGGAAATAGGGTGAAGTCAGCTCTAGTATCTATTGGTAGTCTCGAAAAATTTGCTTATGAAACGAGAAATAGCAAAGCAATTATTAAAGCAAAACAGACAAGCTACTCATAGTAGTGTGTGCTGTTAGTATGGAAAAAAAAGCAGAGTCAATGTTGGCACTGATAATTGCTGCTAATTGCTAGTCACGACTTGCAGTCAAAACGATGCAGCAGCAATCTTCTCCACTAAACGCAGCCAAGCAGAACAATAGACATTCCCTTCTGAGCACGCAGAATATTGAGGGAAGGTGGACGAGGGTAAGTCAAATAAGCAGAAAAAAAGAGGGCAACTCAACTAGTCGGCCATTGGATTGGTTCTACCATTATTCGTGCATGACTATCGGGCTCAGCAAATGCACCAGACGCAACTTAAGGAATCTCGGTCGTCATTTTTAAAGTCACTGAACCATGCTGAGGGAGCACATTCTGTTTCGGTTAACAAACTTACGACCGGCGCCCTCCTACCCTGA